CTGAAGTTGTAAAGGAAGCAGCAGGCCACAAGAATGAGGTCAGCACTGCAAACATTAGTAAGAAGCCAGTTCCTGAGGGTTTATAACTTTATGGCAAAAGGATAATATGATCTCTACCCTGCAAAAGCTCAGGTTTGGCTGAAACTTCTGTGTATGTCTTGATTCCCTTGGTAGGGCTGCAAAACCCAGAGGAACTGGAGAGAAAGCTATCAGCCATAGTACCTATGCATACTCCAATAGTCACTGAGGATGTACCTCTTAAGGGCAAGAGTGTCAGCCTGTAGTTCATGTAGGGTGCCAGGATTCTGGAACATTCAGGTGTCATATGCTTGGATAGTATTCAAGGGTGCTCTTTTTAGCCTCCATCAAACCACTGGTTAATGAGGGACAGAATGGATTGGGCCAAAGTCTGGGCCCACACTGTTATATCAGGAGACACAAAGAGCATGCCAGGTGAAGCAGCCTTATCAGCCCTCATTCACTACAGTAAAGGAAAGAGCTATGATCCCATCTTCTACCACTACCGTATTGGTTTGACCCATTTTGTAAAGTGTGGATAGATCCAAGGGAATCCTCTATGACTAGCTTTCTATCCAGGTCTCTACCTGTGGAACATCACAGGCCTCAACTCAGATCAAATGACTAAGGGAAGATGTAGCTCTCCATGTCTCAAGATGCTGGGAGCATCTTGTGCTTCTCACTCTTGCTGTGGCTGGGGCAGGGGGACATGGTCTCCTTGCCAGCAGGAGGCATGCACTTGTGGAGGATCTGTCCTGCCAAAAGAGCTGCAGGAGGAGGTCAGCAAGTTGCAGCATCAGAGAAAACAAGAAAGAGATTGACTGGATCTTCTGAGACCCTGCAGCTTCAAGAGCCCACATCCCCAACTGTACCGAGTCTGAGCTTATCTGGTTGGGAAATGGAGAATCCCATGATGACAAGGCAGGAATCCTGTGTCTTCCAGCAGCAGGAGGCAGGTGCTTGCTCCACCTGCAGTTCTGCAATTACAGAACAGGTTGAGTGCTCTGGAAGCAGACAAGGGTCTGGGAACTCTCTCTCATGAAGCATCTGAGCTGGCTGAGCCTGAGCTGCACAGCAGCACCAGGAAGCACCAAGTGACTGTTGTGGGAAGAGGCTCCCTTCTGCAGGGGACGGAGGCCCTCATCTGCCTACCTGACCTGCTGTCTAGGGAGGTTTGCTGCTCTTTGGAAGCTCAGTTCCAGGATATTGTGGAGAGGCTGCCAAATCTTGCCTATCTCCCAGACTGTTACACCCTGCTGCTTTTCCATGTGGGCAACAATGATATTGTCAGGGGAGACCTGGAGCCTATCAAGCAAGACTACATGGCTCTAGGGGCAAGGGGCAAGAGGATGGGGGGGGGGCAGGTGGTTTTCTCCTCTATCTTGTTGGTGAGGGGGAAGGGCTTGAGTAGAAGTGGACTTATCCTGTGGGTCAACATCTGGTTGCGGAGCTAGTGTCAAGAATGGAGGAATGTTTTTTATGACCATAGGATCCTCTTTGAAGATCAAGAACTGGTAGGAAGAGACAGGATATACAACACAAAGCGGGCAAAAGCATCTTTGCCAACAGACTGGTGGCAACCTGTTCTCCTCTGCTGAGGAGAACTTTAAACAAGGAACAAAGCAGGAAAGTTGATGAACAACAATCAAATGAGGAAGTGGTGGACTAAGTCTGCAAGCAAAAGGTGCAGGGCGAAGTGGACAGGAGAGACCTTTAGTCAACAATTCAGTGCTGAAGGGGGACCACCTCAATCACATGAACATAAATAAGGGAGTACTTGTAGGACAGCATGATGAAGGAAGCTCTCGCCTTTTCTAGGAAATCAGCACAGCTGGGTAGCTCTCTGAAGTGCCTGTACATTACTGCACAGAGCATGGGGAACAAATGAGAAATTAAAGAGCATGTGTGCATCTGCAGATGTAAATTTCATTGAGATTTGGTGAGAGAGACATAGTGGGTTAGCTTACAAGATCAGAGTGCTGCTATGGATGGATACAGGCTCCAGGAGGGGGAAATGCCCTTT